TCTAGTTTTTCTTATTGCCATCTAGCCTGCTTTGGCCAACACTATCATAAAAAGCTAAAGACATTGCATAGCCATTGTGATAATTTGTTCCGGTGGATCATCTATTTGCATGACCTTGGTTATAAGGTCATGAAATGTGCTAGAGTTGGTGGGGAAAAACTTGTGCCTTTGAAATTTGAGAACACTTTTTATTCCCTCTGGTAGTTTTTCTGAAATTCTGTGAGTAGGACTTACCTAGCTTGATTCTTCATTACTTGGAAATCCTGAATAGTTTTTCTTGGAAGTAACCAGATGGAAAAAATTAAAAATGTTTCAGAAGAACTATTAATACTGGGTGTTTTTTTTCTGAAGCATTTTATTTTTATTTAGACTTAGATCAAGGACACTTATGAGTTTAAAGTGAGCTGATCCAGCATGATGAAAATTGTTTTTATCAGAGTTTCAAACCATAGCTTTATGCATCAGTAGACTTGACTCTGTTTTTAACAATTGTCTTTACCTTTCTTGCACTTTAAGAAGGTAACAAAATAAAAGCTTTTTACTACAATTTTGCTTCATATGGTGTGCTATTGCCTTAAAAATAGTATTTTCTAAGGAATGTTAAGGGAATGTTTAAAGAAAGCACTGACACCGTCTCCAGAATCTTTTCATAGAAGACATTTAGTCCCATTCTTATTACCCTTAATGGTTGTTCCTTTTTAAAGAACAATTACCAAATGTATGATGGGGACTTGCCAGAGAAAGACTAGGTTCTATTACTGGGTTTCTGCAGGAAAAAAAATCTATAGGAGTATAATGAAGAAACCCAAATGAATTCCATTTTTTAAAATAATTTTTTTTTGTAAACACATACTATAGTACTATCAACAGTTAGATAAAATTTCAATGTTGAAATTCTCAAAATCCACAAACGGAAAAACATTTGTAAGATTTCAATGGTGTGGGCAATGCTGTGAATTGGACAAAGGGAGAGCAGGCTTCTAGAGTCCAAGGAGATCGCCAAGTAACTGGATGCTCTATGATGTGAGTTCGTGCCTCTGCCAGAGCAAGGCATCCAGGAATTATTGTTACCCTCTTTTAGTTTTACAAAGGAGAATTTGTGGTGTAGAAAGAAAAGAAGAGACTTGGGAATAAAGCAGATCTGAGTATCATTTATTAACACCTTCAACTTCCACAGACTTCTGAATCGCCCCAAACATCTGTTTTTTTTTTTTTTTTCCACTTCTGAAACAAGGACAGAAATTAAAGGGGTGTTGGGAAGTAAAATATCTAGCAGGGCTCACCAAAGTTAGTTGCCTTCCATTTGCTGTTGATGTTTGTATGAGTTAGGTTTATATTTAATTTCTTAATGTAATTCACCAGAAGGTTACAGTTTTCTCCATGCACAAACAAGCTCCACAATGATACAGAAAAATATCCTCTGTGAAGAAGACAAAGGGCTTAGAAAGGTAATTTTAACCTGTTTGAAAGTAGCTATGGAATAGTGGAAAGAAAAATACTCATGCAGTTCTAACACAAGGCTTAGCCTGTCACCCTAAGCTGTCAGATCCATGGCTTCCTCCTTTATGTGATGAATTTAGTGAGATAAATTATTCAAAATATAGCAGATGATTAATAAAAGTCCATTATGAAAAATAAAAATAAAAACGAACTATAGCTAACTGAAAATGAAGGATGCATTCCCTCCTGATACATTTTTAGCATAAAGTGAACAAAGACACTTAGAACCATGGGGCATCTGCGCTCTTTTGTCTGTTTTCATGTGTATATAATAGGAAAATGAGAGGGAGATTGCCATACATCATTTTTTTCTAAGTATGCTTTGTTATAGCAGCATTACTAATTAATCCTGCTACAACCCAATATGTGGGTGAATTCTTCTGTTCAAAGTCTTTGAAACAATCACGTATGTCCCAACATGTTTTATTTCTCTTTTCAAGTTGCTACACCCAAGTCCTGATCTGTTTCCTTCTAGTTAGCATGTTGCTGCAGAAAAGGGCTTTATCAGCCTCATGAGTTTCAATATCAGATTGAATCTGCTATTATGCTTACAGAAAGATGACAGCTACTCCCAAGCAGCTAATGGTGTGTGATTTGGATCACATTCCCAGGACTGAAAGTGTCTTGGCATGAACCATTCCCACACATTCACTTGGTGCTCCTGTGACTGTGTCTTGAGACCAAAGACATATTTTGAGGGAGAATATACAGGTCCCATGTGGGGTAACAGGTCAAATATCTTGGAATGCAGCTTATGCTAGAAAGTCATCATTAAATTATTTGCCTCTCATGTGAAAGAACCTCAATGGGTGGTTTTAAAAAATGTATTCTGATTATTTTTCAGTCAAATGATAATGAGTAACCAAGATACAAATTACACAGCAAAGATTCCATAGAAATAAATTAATGGAAATAACTGTGAATATCATCTTTTTGTGATTAAACATTTCTAACATGAATGTTCAGTTGTATATTTCTTTATATTTCAGTAATAAATCCAATTTTGTATGTCTTTCAAAGTCAGTCAACACTGACTTTGTTCTGAACCTTGAAGGTCTTGTTTGGTGCCCTGGTTTGAAGTCTGAATGAAAAGAAACCAATCATTGTAAAACAATTTTCACATATTGTAAGATACAGTATTATCTGTACTTTACGTCACTCACTTTGTTCTTTATTCTGAAATTCATTGGGAACACAGTATCATTTTTAGTAATAAACAAAGGTAAGGAGAGAAGTGACAATGCCAAAAAATAGAAAATTACTTGTTTGCTAGGTTTACCAAATTTATTTATATCATATTATTTTCTTCTTGCAGTTTTTGGTTTGCTTTGTTTTAATTTGTATATGAAAGCAAACAAGACATAATACCATGGCTAATAGTTTCAGATCACTGCATTCCTGTGATTCCCAACCTTTTACAACAGTAAAACTTCTAAGATTGTATTTGCAGTTCAGTTGAATATCACCCTGATAATGTATACTGTGACTATACGTGGCTGAAAACGGAACATTCATACAGTTTCTTTAAGTACAGAGCCAATCAGTCAAATAAGATGTATAGTGCCGTCATTATTATCAAGTGAACTAACCTGCATAATACACATTTAGAATGCCAAAAGTTTAGATGGAACAAGGGGAACTCACAGACAAAAAAAAAAAAAAAAAAAATCAGCCCAGCTAAAATAATTATCTATTTACAAAGCTTCAAGCTCAGAGATTTTTGGTCCAACTCATTGATGGGCATGTTTGGCATCCCCAGATATTTAGTGCAAGAAACCCTGGTTTTCTTTTCTTATGCTATTTTTTTTTAGGAATTGGCATGTTCAGTTAAAAAATTCAAATTTTAATATTGGAAAAGCAAATCAAATTGGATAAGTTCCTGGAACTATTCTTTAGGCAGCCTCAATGTGCAGAGAGCCTGGATGTGGTGAGGTTAACACTGACCTTCAAAGTTGGAGACAAGTTCTTCTGGCCTAGTCTTCCACATCGATAATGATACCTGGAATCAGTGAAGTTACAAAAAATACACATTATTTGCATCTGTACAAGATGTACAAGTATCTGTACAAGGTTTCAAGAACACCTGGTAGTTTGTAGCTTTTCTTTCCTCACATTGCTGCCGCAGTATATTTTCTTTCAATGCAGAAACACCTTACATTATAGAATGATGACAGTATGAAAGCTGTTCAGAACTGTAAATAATACTTTTCCATGCCACTCTTTTTTGTACATATATGTGATAAGGCTGAGAGGAAACAATTAAAAATAATGTCTATTTTATTGCAGCTAAGTTTATAGCCTTTCAATGTAGCAACTCCTGAAAAATTTGGAGAGGCATTCAAAAGACTTATAAAATGCCCTTGCATCTCAGTTTGAAAGTGAATGCATTTGTAGCATTTCCGTTTTAGCCCAAAAAAAAAAAAAAAAAAAAAAAAAGAAAAGTCCTGAAATGTTTGCCTTCTTTTTTTCCTCAGGTAAGAGGTATGATGTCCTAGTTGCTGAGGTCCTCTGGAAATGAATGAGATAACTTGAAATTTTCTTATTCTCCCTCATCTAGGAAATTCAATAAACAAACATATCTTTTATGATGTGGCAGTGGGAACAAGAATGTATTGACTGAGTTTTTTGAGAACTGAGGTGGAAAAAAGTGTTCTTTATTTAGCTGCAGGTATCTGATATTTTCCCCTAAATAAACTCAGCCATAGACTTAAGACTTCTTAAAAGTCCACTTGTATGTCTGCCCAAGTGATACGTCTAAATCAGGTTTTCTCAGTCTTGACTTTATTGCCATTTTGAGCCAGAATATTCTTTATGTGGGTGAGGGAGTGTCCTGTGCATTGCAGAATGTTTAGTGGCATCCTTGGCCTCTATTGACTGGATGCCAGTAGCTTCTCCAAGCCCCACCTCAATCATGACAACCAAAAATGTCTCCTGACATTGTCAAATGGCCTCTGGGGGGAAAATAGCCCTTGGATCAGAATCATTATTGTAAATCTTGCAAAATAATAATACTTTACTACTTCTAAGGCTTAATATGTTAGTTATCTAGGATATCTGCCTGTATATATATTTATATTCTCTTACATATAGTTTTTTGTCATTCATATGCAATTCTCTAAGCTCTTTGATTAGTCTACTAAAAGAAACTGAAGATTGGCTTAAACATAATTTTTTTTTTTTTTTTTTTACTTTTTCCACCTTCCCTTTTTTTTTTTTTTTTTTTTGAAACCTTTTTTAATGTGTTGACTGTCTGTTCATTATCGATAGAAACAATTTTTTGCCTTTTCTACATCACTCAGGGGATCTTGGATCTTAGTGCAGGAACGGTATTTTGCTGGGCCAGCTTCATGTGTGATCATGTCACTATTTTAAAATACATCTGCTGGTAATACAGTCTTATGTACAGCTGTCTTCAAGAACTAGCCAACAACTGTCTCATCAGGATGGGTTTTCCATCTTCTTCTTCCAACACCTTTGTTTTTCTTCCTTCCATGCTGTAGGTATATTGATCATGAGGAGAGGGTTCGCCCCTCACGGGAGAAGTAGTTAGGAAGGCAATATATGGAAACAAAGCCATGAATCTGACATGAAATGTGCTTAAGGTAAGTAAGAAGATGGGGTTGCATTTTTATGATGTGTTACAAAGAAATTGTCCAGAAAACATCTAGCTCCGGAAGCCAACCATTATTCACTTTGAGGGAGCGTGCCATGCAAAAGATCTCCTGATTTTAGGCAATCACACAGTGACCTGTGTTGCTCTGGGTGCCTACCGAGGAACATGGACGCAGCTTCAGTCTAAGAAAGAATGTTCAATTGAGGCAGCCACTTTCTCCGGGCCAAATTATGTTCTTCATAATCTCCCAAGTGTTATATTTAATTTACATTTGAAATAGAAAATATGTGAACATAGACTTGGCTCACAAATTATTTCAGTTTTCTGAATTCAGGAGAATGTGCTTGTTGAAGCAGATGTTTCTGAATTTTATTTCATTACTGAAATTTCCACAAACATAAATCATTTAAAAATACATGATTTAAGAGTTTAATAACCTGAAAATGATCACCCAGCAAAGTTTTTGTATCTTTCCTCAGCATTTCTGATCATGTGTTTTCAAGAAAGCATTGAAATTTTTACCAAAGCTTCTCATGTAGATAATCTCTTAAAAGTTTAAATCTCTTATGCAACATAAGAAAAATAAGCTATTGTTTTGACTTCAATCTAAATGACATTCTGTGCTCTTTACAAGCCCCTGAGTATTTGATAACTCTGAAAGATGCAAATGTAAATTTCCTATGAATCCCAATTTTATTCAAAGATTGAAGCCCTATCACTTCACTTAGAACAAATTTCATCCATTAACAACTATCTTGCAGGTAAAGGGAAGCAAAATATAAGTAAAGTACTAACAAAGCCAATTACATTCAGGTGCATGGATGATTAATCATAAAATTCACAATGGAGGACACTCTGGGTAAGGAATACGATTCCTTTTTGAAAATAATGTGGTATATGTATATATTTTTCTTCTCTTCTCCTTTCACATGCACTGTTTAGATTGTATACGTGGAGATGAATATCCATTGTCCTTTGCACTTTCTGGATGATAAATTAGAAAGAAAGAATCCAAAGAATGAAGTTGTGCTATTTGTCTTCATTTCTGATCTGGGAAACTAGAGGAAATTAAGATGGTTAGTATTGCTATCATTTTTTCCCCCTGAACCCTAGGAAATAGGAATTTAAAGTCCTTAGATGTATTTTCTACAATCAACAAATTATAAAGTTATTTTCACTAATCTTTTTGAAAATATAAATACAAGCCAGAGGTTCTTATTCATGGCTCATTTCTCGGGACTTTGTAAGACCATGAAGCACATTGAAACCCATATATTGAATAGGTCCCATGCAATCTGCCTGCATTAACTACATCAGACCCACTCATTCAAACTTTATCAATTTTTTTTTGTCCTTTACCATGTACCAGAAATGGGACAAGGGACACAGAATATAGAGGTGAACCAAAGAAACAGTTCTTGTCCTCATGAAGCTTATATCTTAGTGTTAGAGACAGAGGCACAAAGAATGTAAACCAATAAAGAGAAAAAGATAATTTAGATTGCAGTAAGTTATATAAGGAAAATTAAACAAGGCAATGGGATAGAAAACAATGACCAAGATGTAGAGAAAACTTTGGCTTGGGCTGTCAGGGCATGATACTCACTAGAGAGATTCCATTTGAGCTGAGATATAATAAATAAAAATGATCCAAACATGTTGATTCAGGGAAAGACTGCTTCAGGAATTGCAATCACAAAATCATATTCCTAAGACAGGAATGAGCTGGGTGTCCTTGATTTAGAGAAGAAAATCAAGGTGTATAGACTCTAGGAAGTAAGAGTAGGTCCTGCTAGGGACTGTACTGTGTTTCTTAAAAATGTATATGCTGAAGCCCTAATCCCCACTGTTACTGCATTAGAGATATGGCCTTTAAGGAGGTAACTAAGATTAAAAGAAGACTAAGAGCAGGGCACTAATCTGATATGATGGGTGTTCTTATAAGAAAAGACACCAGATCTCTCTCTCTCTCTCTGTCTGTCTGTCTCTCTCCCTCTCTCTCTTCATGCATAGAGAAAAGACCATGTGAGGACACAGTGAGAAGGAGGCCATATGCAAAGCAGGAAGGAAGATCTCACCAGAACAAAAACCAGCCCTGCTGGCACCCTCATCTTGGACTTCTAGCCTTGCTCAGAGCTGTGAGAAAATAAATTTCTGGTGTTTCAACCACTCAACCTATGGTCATTCGTTATGCAACCCTAGCAGACAAACAGGGACCTAACTTAAGAACTGGTTAAAAATGAGGCCAGTGAGGAATTTGATACCCTATGGTTGGGAAAGTTTGATTTATTCTAAGTGCAACGGAATGGAGCTGGGGATATAAATTTGGGATTTATTGGCAGGTGAAACATATTTTAAAATAGACTAAAGTTAAATTTCCTGAGGGCAGAATGTAGATAGAAAAGAATCAAGGTTTTATGGCCAAGATCCAAGTCACTCCAATATTTAGAATTCTCCCGAACATTTAAAGAGGGCTTACACTGATTCTATGTAGCATCTTCCAAAAAATAGAAATTCTTTACAGCATCTTTCCAAGTCATTATATGAGGCCAAAATTACCTTGATATTATAACCAAAGACAGTACAAGAGGAAGACAGTACAAGATCAATATATAACATGAAATTAGACATAACATTTCTAAACAAAATATTAGCAACTTGAATCCAGCAAATATGTAAAAAAAAAAATATGCACCATAGCCAAGTGGGATTTATTCCAGGTATGCAATGCTTTTAAATATTTGAAAATAAGCCATTATAATCTACCATATTAACAGGCTAATCACATGATCATATCAGTTGATGAAGATCAAATCTATGGCAAAATTCAACATCTATAATTTTAAAGAACCTCTCTAAAAATAAGTAATAGAGGGAAATATATCCTCAAATTGATAAAGATCATTTACAGAAAACACAAAAGCTGTCATTATGCATAATGGTGAGAATCTGAATCAGTTCCCCCTAAGATCAGGACCAGGCGAAGTTGTTTGCTATCATCACTGTCATTCCACATAGTGCTGGAAGTTCTCACTGGTGCAATAAGGCACACAGTAGAAATAAAGACACTGAAATTTGTGTTAGTTAATTTTGTGTTGCTATAACAGAATGCCACAGACTGGATAATTTATTAAGAAAATTGTTTATTTCCTACAGTTTTGGAGGCTCAGAAGTTCAAGGTGCAGGGGCCTGCGTCTGGTGAGGGTCTTCTTGCTGCATCATCCCATGACAGAAGGCAAAAGGGCAAGGGTACAAGAGAGAAAGAGAGAGAGGAATGGAGAAGGGATGATATGAGGGAGCCAAACTCATCCTTTTTATCCAGAGCCCACTCCTGAGATAATTAAGTCACTTCTGCAATACATCATTAATACATTCAGAGTCCTCATGACCTAATCACCTCTTAAAGGTTCCACTTCTTAACGCTGTTGCATTGGGGATTAAGTTTCCAACACAAAAACTTTGGGGGATGCATTCAAACTATAGCCAGTTTGAATAGAAAAAAAATTTAACTGTTTCTATTTCAAATGACATAATTGTATACATAGAAAATTCCAAGCAATCTTTTAAACACTCCCAGAACTAATATGTAAGTTTAGCAAGATCACAGGATACAAGACCAACATACGAAAATAAATCATATTTTTATATGCTAGCAATGAAGATGTGGAAAACACAATTAAAAATACAAGACTATTTACAATTATTTCAAAAAAGAGAGAAATAATTAGGTACAAATCTAACAATGTACACATAGGTCCTCTATGCCAAAAATTACAGAACCCAAAGGAACAAATGCAAAGGGCTTTTAAATAAATGGAGAGATGACCTTGTAATAGATAGAAAGAATCAACATAATAAAGATGTCAGTCCTTTTCAACTTCATTAACAGGTGCAATTCAATTCATATCAAAATTTCAAAATTTTTTTTTGCAGATATAGTAAAATTTATTTTAAAAATTATGTCTCAAGGCACAGGTCATGGACTAAGTAAAATAACTTTGAAAGTGAATAAAGTGGGGTGGATTATTACATCCAACATTAAGACTTACTATACGGCTACAATAATCAAGAGATTTTGATATTGGTTGGGGGATAGACTCATAGATCAATGGAACAGAAGAGAGAACCCAAAACTAAACAACACAAATATACCCAGCTGATTTTTTAAAAGGTTATAAAAGCAGTTCAGTGGAAGAACAGTTCTTTCAACAAATGATGTTAAAGCAATTAGATATCCAAGGGCAAATAATTTAATCTCAACCTAAACCTACTACTTCATTCAAAAAGTAATTCAAAGTGTAATATAGTTTTAAATATAAAATATAAAACTAAAAGACTTTAGTATAAAACAAGAAAAATTTTAGGAAGTAGGACTAGATGAGAAGTTCTTAGATCTGACACCAAAAGCACAACTCATAAGAGAATTTAATTACTCTATTGGACTTCACAAAAATTAAAAACTTTCGCTCTGTGAAAGACTACATTTAGAGAATGAAAATTTAATCTAAAGTTAATCTACAGACTAGAGGGAAATATTTGCAAATCACAAGATTCAACATAGGGCTTCTACTTGGAATACACAAAGAACTCTCAAACTGAACATTAAAAGAAAAATAAGCAGGCCAGTCTGAAGATAGTGAAGTATCTCAGTTGATTGTTCACAGTTCGTTACAGATCTTACTTCTTGTTCTGCCCTTCCCCCTTCTCACTACTGCACTTGACTAATTAAAAAAAGCAATTAAATTAGAAAATTTATAAACAAAATGAACAAATGATTTGAACTGGGGAGAGATGATATCTCATTTTAGTTTTGATTTGCTTTTCTCTGATAATCAATGATATTGAATGCCTTTTCATATGCCTGTTTGACATTTGTATGTCTTCTTTTGAGCAATGTCTATTCAAATCTTTTGCCCATTTTTAAATCAAATTATTAGATTTTTTCCTGTAAAATTGTTTGGGCTGCTTATATATTCTAATTATTAATCCTTCATCAGATGAGTAGTTTGCAAATAATTTCTCCCACTCTGCACATTGTCTTTTCACTTTGTTTATTGTTCCCTTCATTCTGCAGAAGCTTTTAAACTTGATTTGACCCCACTTGTCCATATCCAAAAGACAGGCAATAACAAATGCTGGAGAGGATGTGGAGAAAAGTGAACACTGGTACACTGGGGGAATATAGATTAGTATAACCACTCTGAAGAATAGTTTGGAGCTTCCTCAAAAAACTAAAAATAGAGCTACCGTATGATCCAGCAATACTATCCTTAGGTATATGATCAAAAGAAGGGAAATCAATATATTGAAGAGACACCTGCACTCCCATATTAGCTGAAACACCATTCAAAGTAGTCAAGATTTGGAAGCAATATAAGTGTCAATCAATAGATGAATGGATAAAGAAAGTGTGGTACTTACACAAAATGGAGTATTATTTAGCCATGGAAAAGCATGAGATCCTGTCATTTGCAACAACATGGATGGAACCAGAGATCATTATGTTAAGTGAAATAAGCCAGGTATAGAAAGACAAAGATCACATGTTCTCACTTATTTGTGAGAGCTAAAATTTAAAATGATTGAATTTGCATACATAGAGTATAGAGAGACGGTTACCAGAGGCTGAGAAGTGTAGTTGGGGTTGGTAGGGAAGATGAAGATAGCTAATGGGTTAAAAAAAAAAAAAAAAAAAAGAATGAATGAATAATACCTGGTATTTGATAGCAAAACTGGGTTACTATAGTCAAAATAATTTAATTGTACATTTTCAAATAACTAAAAGAATATAATTGGATTGTTTGTAACACAAAGGATAAATGCTTAAGGAGATGAATACTCCATTTACCCTGATGTGATTATTATATGCATTGCATGCCTCTCATCTGGATATCCAAGCAGAAGTTTGCTGCAGAGGTGGGGCCCTCATGAAGAACCTCTGCTAGGGCAGTATAGAAGAGAAATGTTGGGTTGGAGGCCCCAAACAGAGTCCCCACTGGGGCACTGCCTTGTAGAGCTGTGAGAAGAGGGCTGCCATCCTCCATACTCCAGAATGGTAGATCCACCAACAGCTTGCATTATGCTTCTGGAAAAGCTGCAGACCCTCAACACTAGCCCCTGAAAGCAGCCAGGATGGGGGCTGTACCCTGCAAAACCACAGGGGAGGAGCTGTCCAAGGCTGTGGGAGCCCACCTCTTGTATCAGCATGACCTGGATGTGAGATATGAAGTCAAAGCAGATCATTCTGGAGCTTTAAGATTTAATGACTGCCCTTTGGGATTTCATACTTCCACGGAGTCTGTAGCCCTTTTGTTTTGGCCAATTTCTCCCATTTGGAACAGGTATATTTACCCACTGCCTGTACCCCCATTATATCTAGGAAGTGACTCACTTCCTTTTAATTTTACAGACTCATAAGTGGAAGGGACTTGCCTTGTCTCTGATGATACTTTGGACTGTGAACTTTTGAGTTAATACTGAAATGAGTTAAGACTTTGGGGGGCTGCTGGGAAGGCATGATTGGTTTTGAAATGTGAGAACATGAGATTCGGGAGGGTCCAGGGGCTGAATGATATGGTTTGGTTTTGTCCCCACCCAAATCTCACCTTGAATTGTAATAATCCCCATGTGTCAAGGGTGGGGCCAGGTGGAGATAACTGGATCATGGGGGCAGCTTCCCCCATACTGTACTCATGGTAGTGAATAAGTCTTATGAGTCTGATGGTTTTATAAATGGGACTTCCCCATACAAGCTCTCTCTTGCCTGCCACCATGTAAGATGTGACTTTACTCCTCATTTGCTTTCCACTATGATTATGAGGCCTCCCCAGCCATGTGGAACTGTGAGTTCATTAAACCTCTTTCCTCAATAAATTACCCAGTCTTGGGTATGTCTTTATTAGCAGCACTTGAACAGACAAACATACAAGCACATGTTTTTGTTTTTGTTTTTGTTTTGGGGGTGGGAGGTGGAGAGTTTTATTCACCAAAAAAAAAAAAAAAAAAAAAAAAAACCAGAAACAGAATTTAAAGAGAAAAGCAGAAAATCCTTAAAAATATGTGTGTATTTATATATACGTGTGTGTGTGGGTGTGTATATGTGTGTGTAAAATATACATATACACACATATATGTGACTTGGCTTGCATATCAGCTTTTAATTATATATA